ATAATTCAGTATATACCATTTAATATTAGTTAAATATTCAGTTTCTTTAGTTACGCTCATTTAAATATGGATTTTAAAATACCTTTTCCATTAATCATGTTAAGTGGTATTCACTGTATTAAAATATTGCTTTAAATGATTTATTAGTKAAATTATAATTTGGGTAATTTAATTTTAGGTTTTTCGTTTTTTTTACTTGGATGCATTTGAAGACGTGTTCAAACAACCTGGAGTTGTATTTCTTTTTGGAAAAGTAAAACCTGTTAATTTTGATACATATGTAAGCTGTTGTGTAGTAGTTAAAAATATTGAAAGAAGGATGTTTCTACTTCCAAGAAATACAGTAAGATAGAAATTGAAATCTACAAGTATTAACATTTACTAAATTACTTAAATATAATCTATATTATTACAGACATCTGAAAATGAAGAAGTAAAAATGGTTGATGTTTATAATGAATTCAATAATCTGACTGACAAGTATCAAATACAAAATTTTAAATCACGCAAAACTACTAAAAAATATGCATTTGATCTAGCTGATGTTGCAGATGAGAGTGAATATTTGGAGATAAGATATTCTGTTAGTTAATTATTTACATATTAAATAAAAACCTTTATAGATATATTTTTAAATTTTTATAGGCTTCCCATCCACCTCTGCCTGAAGATTTAAGCGGTAAAACATTTAGCAGAGTATTTGGTACAAATACTTCGTTCTTAGAGCTTCTTCTCTTAGATCAAAAGATAAAAGGACCCTGTTGGTTGGATATAAAAATTCCTCAACTCTCTAATAATCCTATGAGTTGGTGCAAAATCGAGGTATACATAGTGTATATGTTACGGTCAATGACGAAAATTTTGATATTTACGTTAAAGCCCGGCCATGTCGAAAATTATCTTGTACAATACAAATTTAYGTAAATGACCYGTAWTTTACGTAAATGGCGATACATAATGGTTAATGTTGTAAACACGGGTATTTTTTTATTATTCACGTCAATTCCCAATTCCTGTTGGACGTTGTTGTAAATTATACATTTATAACATACGGGTCACTGTTAAGTGTCAGTTATCTATCTACACACGTTAGGTACTACGTTAGTATGTATTATTTATAAAAATATCACCGATAATCAGAGATAGTTACTCGAGTAAACCATAATAATATTAATATATAGCTGATGGCTAAGTTAAATAATGCCGTGCTTATCTAACAAATTATCAAAGGTAGGTAATTTGTTCTATTGCATTTTTTTTCCCCCCATAAAGTATTTTAGYTATTTCAGTTTCGTTGCAGACATCGTATTCGTTTCATATCGCTTGATTCGCTCGGAATCTGTAAATACCGAGAAAGAAATTACGCTGAGAGAAGCTGCAGGTTTTAATAG